AAAATTCTTAAAAATGTACAATTGTAAATAACAATTTTTCGTTCAAATTTTCAAGTTTTTTGGAGATCCTTTAAATTTTGAACAACATATTAAAGAAATATTTTTAACATATTATAATATTTTTAGATAATATTCTTTAAAAAAATTATTATTAAATATATCCTATATATTTATTTTATATATTATACTAAAACTTTTTTGATTAAAACTGAAATTTATTTTAAATTAATCTAATTATACTTTGCCTATCAAAGAAAGGTATTCTCTATTATTTTTATGCCATATATTACGCATAAACATCTGCTGTTATGTGACGTTTAAAAAATATTTTATACCAATAATATAATATCTATACATATAACATTAAAAATACATATAACATTTCGTATAACAAGAGTTGTGTTATCGCAACATTAGTACAGAACGAAGAAATTGGACAAAAGATAATAATAATTTTTATAATTTCTAGTTCTATGTATTCGTACAGATCGAACATATCTCACAAGTATGCACATACAGACAAAATATAATTAACACATCACAATCTTTATTCTTGTTTGATTGTTAAATAAACAGATAATGCGAAGACTAATCAATAACGAAGATAAAAATGAGTTGTATCCTATTTTATTGAATGTTCTTGTATACTTTCCTTATTATAATTTTCCAATTCTTTCTTTAGTTTAATTTTTGTTTATTTATTTTTAAGCTTTAAATATAAAATTAAATTAGCGTTGAGAAACGCTAAGAGAATTCATAGACAATGCACCAATACGGGTTGCGAATCTAAATGATGAATTTTCTTTCCAATCTTCGTTCGATCCAGATTTAGTTTATCGACTAATATAATTGACTGACCGACTAACTAACCCATGAAGCGTCGATTAATTTTATATATTTGACTAAGGTCTCTGGCATATCGGGCGGCAAATTCTGAGTATTATTATAAAACTCAGGAATCCATCCGTATATCTGAAAAATAATGTTTTAAAAAGTTTTGAAAGAAACCTTATACAGGATAGCCTACATAAAGTGTTACAAACTATTATCTCTATTAAACGAATTTGTACATGTAATGTTGTAACAATCAAAGTATAGATACAAGGTGTACCATATTTCGTACTTTGTATCTACTCTTTGTATAAGCATGATAAAATTTTCACATTAAAAAAGTTTAATAATTTTGAAAAATCTTTTTCTATATAATTTTTTTTAAGTCTTTGGCTGTGATGCTGGCGCAGCCAATACGGTAGTAAGATTCTAATCCAGCTAGCAATCCAGCAGGAAAACAAGCATCGTGTGCCACAGGTTTTTAGATACTATTATTAGATTGCTTTATCTTACACATAGAAATATTCTGAATATATTATACGGATTCTGCAAACGATATTTTTAGGCTGTCTCTGTGATAATTTGGACATTTATATGTATATGGGATATGAATTCTCATAAAATTTTATGAACATAATTTTTTATGAATAAATTTACAGATAAATTAAGAAAAAGAGGTGTGTGTTGGATCCTCACAAGGACCCAAAAATATCGAGAACCCGATGATCGTGACGGGTCGGGAAGACATCGGGTCGAGTCAGGTCGGGTTCCAAAAATTTCAAGATTCTCGAAAGTATCAGAATTCTCGAAAATGTTCGGGGGAGTTCCTGAGGGAGTTGAAATTCTTGATAAAGTCAAAATTCTCGAAAAAATTTATATTTCCGAAAATTTCGACAACCCAATTGCTACTTAAAGTCGTTTTAACGAATAATGAAGACTTAACGACAGATTATTTATGCTTGATGGTTACAATTACAATTACAAAAACAATTACAAAATTTTTATTAAAACGAGTAATCGAAACGGTAATCAAATTTTCAAGAAAAACGACAGATTCGAGAATATTGAATCCATCGAGAATTTGATTCTTTCGAGAATTTCGACTCTGTCGGGAATCCTGACTCTATCGAGAATCCCGAAAGCTTCGGGAACCCGACCCAATCCCAATAAAAATTCCCGACCTGATCCGATCTATTAATTAAGATACATTTCATTCCAATCTTATATGATATGATTTAGCAAAAGATTTTATGCGTGTATTGCTGCCTTACCCTGTTAAGTTTAATGAAAATGCAAGGTGCCGAATTATTGAAACCATATTGTTGATTCGGAGAACATGGTCCCCAATTGTTTACATCGACTGCACATACGTTACCAGGTTTTGCCGGCTTGTTATAACTGCAAATTTGTTGATTTCTGCCGCCATTTGACAAAAGTGATGGATTGATGTAGTCTATTTAAGTAAATAATAGAAACACGATTGGATTATGATTAATTTATAACATAAAAAAATGAAAATTTATTTTAACGATGATAGAAATGTGAAAAGAATTTTTTTAAATATATGAAATGGACAAATTTATTAAAATAATATTTATATATTTATAAATATCATTTATATTTGATATTTATGTATTCTAAATTATGTAACAGAAAGAGAGAGAGAGAGAGAGAGAGAGAGAGAGAGAGAGAGAGGAAGAGAGTATTGAAATTAAAGGAAAATTCGAGAATTTAATTTAAATTGATATTTGAATTTAACAAAATTGGAAAAGTATTAATTATATTTCTATTGCAATAAAAATTAGCTTTTTTGGATGTGTAAATATCTTTTTAATAATTTTTTTTAATGTATTACTAATAATCAGTATTTCGTGTGTGTGTGTGTGTGTGTGTGTGTGTGTGTGTGTGTATATATATATATATATATATATATGAATAGTATATATGAATAGTATAATAACACTAATGAATTAACAGCAATGCCATTATTGAAAATAAGTCAATAGATTTCATATTACTCACTTTCCAAAAATTTATCCAAGCGTTTTGTCCATTTTTGTATATCAGTCGCATTTGATGCGCTGTACCAAACAAGTGATCTCTCATCGGGATTATCCGAAATCGGTCGGAATCCCAATCCTGATGATTTGCATTGACAAACGCAATCAAAAAATTCAAACGAATTAATTCAAGTATGTATTGTAAATAATTATTTCTATCAAATAACATAATTTTTAAAAATATATTGTCAAAAAGTAATATTAAAAATAAAAAATAATCAGATTGATTTATAATATATAACTTTTTAGACGTGTCAGAGTGATTACCTGGATTAGTACCTATAATGCTGCTACTTAAGGTCCATTTAGGTTTCTCATCGCTCAATGTGGCCAGCAAGCCTTTCATGGAAATGCTGAAAAGTATCGCGAGCGCAGCATAGAAGAAAGTGTAGAAGATAAGAGTTATGCCTGAAGGAATACAAAACCGTGAGAGAAGATTATTATCATCTTTTATGAGTTTCCTTGTATTCTGTATGTTAAGAAGAATATGAATGGTTATGCTAAGTTCTGTTACGTAAAAATGTATAATGAACTAAACTAAATAAACGATCAATAGATTAACATAAAAATGGTATATTTTTAAAGTTTAACAATCTTTTGATGCATTAAAAAAAATATGATATATAAAGAATTCTTTCATTCAAAAATTGTTAATTTTGATATTTTTATAATTTTATGAAAAAAAAAGAGGAATAAGAATTATCAGTTATTTATACTTTCGTCATTGACGTATCTGAGCGCTGTTGCGTGATCCAAATATTCATCGCGCGCGAACACGAGTGTGTGTTTAAAAACCATGTGAGAGTAACTAACGTATAAGCCCATTCCCTTTCCCACACATTTTTTTTCCTGTAGACAGATCTAAACTCGTAGTTTGGTGTTATGACCTGCTTACTTCGGTTACTTATGCAACCACACAGATACGAAAGTTTTCAATATTTCGTTGATCAAACAGAAAATATTTAAAGCACAGGGCACTGCGCCAGCACACGCTCTAAATATAGATTCTTTTTCAGAAGCAACGTGGATCGCATGATAGCGGCCAACTGCTACATCATACTGTTATTAACTCCAGAAAAAGTTCAAATATTTTTTGAAGATTAAATCCGTAGAATACTTGGATGTTTCAGCATTTGAATATTACGTAAATGTTTAAAAATTTATTTATTATTTAGGTAATTTTTATATGCATTTGCAAAAAGATATATTTTGAAGAAAAAGATTCGTTTAAATTTGCATGTAATGTCGAATTGTTGAATATTGCTTTTCTCTATCTATTCTTATCTTCTGTTATCTAACATAAAGATGGCTGTATGAAAATTTATTCTGAGACATTAGAAAAAGATAGGATAAACATTTTAAATAGTCAATAATGCTGTAACTCACAATAAATCCGCTTTGAAAGTTTTAATTTAATTATAATGTATGCGAGTAATACAAGACTTATAAAAGTATTACTGAGAAAAATAATTCTGATTGTATCGACAGAAAATACAAATAAAACGAATTCTGATCATGTAAATCAAAATTTTAATTATCCTAAATTTTAGTTTTCTTGACTAGGACGTTTAATAAATTTAACTATAAATATCTGATTTGTTATCTTTCAGGTTGAATCAGAATTCTAATCAACATAACAAGATTTTTTCTAGTGTATTTTTATTTATCATTAATAGTTCTTCAAAATTTTGTGATGAAGATATAAAGATTGAGAACATCTAGGAAAAATAAATTTAATGATAATTTTAATATTAATTATTATTATTTATTATTATTATTTTTATCTAAGAATCATAATTATAATAATTTTACTAAAACTTTATTAAAAAACAATAAAATTATTTTGAAGTGTCTCAAAGAGATGGAATGTTCCTAATTAACATTTGATAAATATACGGCGTCTATTATGTCTCTGAAATTGAGGACTTTCAAGCAAATGCTTATCGAGCTATTCTCTTATCATATCTCCCTCGAGTGTCGACGTTAAGTGCTTTAGCTTAGATTTCTTGAATCGTTCGTGATAACTTTTTCATCATGTCATTATTTTCATTTGCATAATGAACATAATCGCGCAGTGTGATGCATTAGAATGATAACAATATGCGCTACGTGCAAGTACATCATATTCAAAGTATTCAAATGACAGTTTTTTGTTATAACGTAACAAATGTATTGTGTTTCAATTTTAATATCTAAGTGTTGCTTGCTTTTCACAGGAGAATCACATACTAAAATGCGTTACACGTAGACACTTTCTAATAAAAGTCTGGACATGAGAAAGCCACTTTTGATTGGTTCGCTATGTTTTAATAATTTCTGTGAAAGAGAAAGAGAGAAAGAAATAAAAAATGGATACAATAGAATGAGAAAGAAAAAGAAATAGTAAATGTATACCCTTCTCTTTCGCAATTTTTTGTTAAAATCTATCTTGCATACAAAACTGCACTCTTATTAGATTTAGACTTGACTCTTATTAGACAGTCTCTCTAGTTGCACATAATATAGCAATAGAAATAGTTTACTTAGAAACTATCAGTTATTAATTTTTGAATAAATATATTAAACTATAATTAAATATTTTATAATACGCTAAAACATATGACAAATCGTGTGGATTAAAATCATAATATAACAAACTTTGATAAAATTTGTGAATGGAAACTTGTTTTCAAAAATAAAATCAGAGTGAAAATGCTCGTATATTTTTAAAACAAATTAACAAAAAAATATTTAAAATATTTTTAAAATAGAAGAGCGTAGAGTACGTATATATTTTAAAGATCATGTAAATGTGACACTGTAAAACTTTATTTTTGAATTAACAAAGTCGTGGCTTATTTCGAGCTTGTAGTTAGACTGACTTTAAATTAATACAATTAATATAACAATGTAAATACTATATAATAATCTAAATATAATTAATAAAATAATAAAAAAAATATAAAATTACAAACGTTTCGGCTTACAAAGCTTTCTTTTTCCCATGATTGAAAAAAAAAACATCTTTCCGTCGAATATGGCCAACCCTGTATTTACATTGTTATATATTAATTGTATTAATTTAAAGTCAATCTAATTATAAGCTCTAAATAAGCCACGACTTTGTTAATTCAAAAATAAAGTTTTACAGTCACATTTACATGATCTTTAAAATATATACGTACCCTACGCTCTTCTATTTTAAAAATATTTTATACATAAAACACTTATTTAAGTAGAAGTTTACAAATATACAAAAAATATTAAATTATAATAAAAATAAATATTGCAAGCTTTTAAATAAACATTGAAAGAAAAGAGTTAAACTAGACTCTATTCTAAGTATGCTAGTCTTCTTCCTTTAATTCTTTTCCTAACAGAATCATGATTCTATAGAACGGACCGGTTTTAGATGCGTGAAGAAAATGTGGGTCTTTTATTTATTAAGTTGCACCAGAAGCACAGTGATATCATCAAACGTGTCTGCGCTGTCTGGCTTTGGAGTTTCTGTTTGGCAGATTGAAAGTGAAATTTGTCTGTATAAGATCGAGAATGCGAATCGGTAAAACATATTTCAGGACAGTACACTCGAGGTTGCAAGATAAGGCCTGAAAGCTATAGATGGAATGTACATAGCACGAACACGATAATACACGTGACCGCATGTGATCGGGGATGTTATCATCATCCGGTTGTTGATCTACAACTACATAGTACTTTCGATTATGATTCTTCACACAGCACATTTATCCTGGAAACATTTTTAGGACATAGGTTGTCCTTTGGAAGGATATTCCTTGAAAGTATGTGCTGTATGAATCGCAAAAACCAGGAAATTCGCAAAAACCAGGAAATTCGCAAAAACCAGGAAATTCGCAAACATCTTAAGAAATCACTTCGGAATTTCGATTAAGCTGAATAAATAACATTCCAATTTTTACTAAAGCAGTTTAAAAACGCACAAAGAGGAAAATTAAATCGAATCGTTAAAACGTTTTTTTAAAATTGTCCGTCATAGAGATAGATGTCTCGAGAATTTCTACAAATGTTCCAATGAGTTTCGTTGCGTTTAAAAGATTTAAAAGCACTGTAGCTTAAAAGAGATTGGCTAAATCTTATTTCAAGATCATTTTAGATGTGTATTTTGAGTGTATTATTAATAGAGCTCTGTGATTAGTTTATGATCATCTTAAGATTATATTTAAGACAGTATTAAATGTAAGAACTAATTATGAATACCGATCTTAAATTAAATTACGATAAGAGAGCAGAACAATAAGAAAATTGTAGTTAAAAATCAATTCATGTCACGCTGGTTATTTCTAGGTGAAATACGAATAAGAAAGAAATATTTGTACACGCGAATTCCTTCGAAAGATTCAAAGATTCTTTTTAAATAGTTTCATGTCGGATTCTCAGTAATGTAAATGTCATACGATTTGTATCGCGTCGTGCAAAAATTCAAGAACAAAATTTTATTTCAGCGAAACACCATTTCCTTTCTTTTTTGTTGAAAATTCTATCCGATCCTCGATTGCATAGTCACACGAGAATTTAGCGACACTGAAACCGCGTGAGAATTGGATTTGATTAGCGTAAAAATTTACAAATGGAATTGTATGTATATAGTATACATCCATGTTACAGTCGCGGTAAAGAATACAGTAACGCACTTGCTAATTTATCATTCGTCGGATATATATGCGGAATGCAAATTTTAAAAAGTCCTTATGAGTCAGATATTCTAGTAAAATAATAATTTGACGTATGTTAAACTACTGTTAGTTAAGACCTGCATAATTTATCCATAAATTATCACTTAATTAATAAATATATACAATAATATTATTAGGTGTTGGAATTAATTCGTAGCGTTTTTTAAAACGCTACGAATTAATTCCAACACCTAATATATAAAAACAATTTAAAGAAGAATAAATATCTATTGTATTTTATATTCAGTATTTTTCTTTCTATCATACCTTAAGATATTGCTTATTTTATAATTATCGAGATATTGTAAAATATAAATATAAATGTTTCCTTAAGAAAAGATTCGTTCGTCGCGAAACACCTGTTGAATATCACTGCGTCGACCTCGTGCTAATCCACATAACATATATATCCGTGAATGATCGCATAGCCAGAAACCTGGAAAACAATTTTTCTGCGTGCTTGATATATATATTCACACTCATCGTCAGTCAATCCTCAGTAAACTATTTGAGCTGAAAAGTATTTCATGTATAAAGAAGCACATTCTAATCACATAAATAGAGCGAATATCGGATGTCATAATTGTCAATAATGCGGTCACGGTAATATATAATTTGATCGAAAACATGTATTTCTTGTGAATACGCTACTGGTGACTGGTTCCTTATTTTCCTTCTTGTACAGAAGGAAAATAATGACATGATGACATCAAT